CATTAGGAAACAAAACTTCAAGAACACGGCCACACAGCCCGGAAGACCCACACCAGCCATAAACGTCTTTGTTTTTACCCTTATGGGTCTCTTTCAGATTTGCCCCTTTTTCAGGTTTGTTCTTTACTTTTTCCAAGAAAATATGGTCACTGTACTTAAAATAGAAGCCACTCACAAAAGCTTAGGCCTTTTAATACAATTTGCAGATCTTAAAAGGTGCTGTTAGACTGATTTTTGGCTACCCTAGACTAATACGGCTCTAATGGGAAGACGTTTATGAAGAAGGAAGCTTTAATATCAGGTGTTTATTTGAATCGAAGAAGCCCATTCATGTGATGATAGAAAGACTACCTGAAAATGATCTTCCTTCTTTGCTCCTTCAGTAGAAGTTATTCAATAAAGTGGAAGGGTTTCTCCAGACTGGAAGGATTCACATATGTGACCCTTTTATTTCTGAAAATGGACAGGAAGCCTGCAAATTATAGATGGCTTCTAAAGCCCCTTTCCTTGAGACTTTTTTTTTTTGCACATTCTGGGTATTACAGATACTAAGAGTAGGTCCACATGCTTGCCTACAAATGCAAGCCATACCTGTTTGCTCCCTCCCCGTTTTCCTCTGCCAGTGCAATACAGAAAGTTGATTACAGAAAGAGCAATCAGTTACCGCCAACTTACCTGAGCTCTGCTTCTTAAGCTGGAGGTGGGATAGTACGGATCAGATTTGCTTTCCTAGCAGGCAAGCAGCAGCCACTGCAGAACACGCTGAGCATCAACTACTTTTAAGTAGTTCTGCAAACCCAGTACATTGGGTTAGCTCATACTTCAGTGTATCACACAAATACAGGATATTTAAATTAACAGAGTAACTCATGGCTAAGTTAGGCATGTGCATATCTTGCATTCCTAATCAATTCAGCACAAAGCATTGGTGGCCAAAGTGAGGATATTATTCTCCCTAGGAGTAAGAAAGAAATTGGAATTCTGTCCAGCAAGCCAAATATTTTCTGTTATGTTTCTATAATGTTCACTTTTCTCCATGACAACAGTTACACAAAGAATTGCTTTTTTTCTTGTTAGCATAAACCACTATGAAAACAAAAAAGAATAGGTAAAAAGAAGTATGTTCATACATACTATTGCTGCTATCTCGATTGTCTGGCCTTGTCATTCTGTTGAACTGGTAAAGCACAGCATACCTTCTTTCTAGCCAATTAATGCTAAGTACACTTAGTTATGCAACAACCCTCTTAAGTATGACCACTGAGCCAAAATGACCTATTTATCCATTTGGTGGGCTGGTCCTGAAAGCAACTATTTAGATGATATACTAGTCTTTTAAGTGGGTGGGAAAAGCTGATAACTGATATGCAAATACTCTACTTAAAAAAAAAAACCTTCTACAAGTAATTTTATTGCTACATTTAACCTTTTCTGTTTCATACCTTTATTACCCTTAATCTGTGTTACTTTTACTTATATCTGAAAGACAAGACTTAGATTGACTCATTTTCAAGAGGAGATAAATTATCTCTACCCAGTGGCAAATTTGATTTGTTGAGAAGGTGTCATGAGGGCTATCACAACACAGTTGTCAGGGTGAATGTGGCCAGTCACATACTTCTTTTTAATTCAGTATCATTTCAAGTTCTTTCTTGTCTCACTCATACATACTCACTCAAACAAGGAAGTGTGGTCAGGTAGTCACTATAAAGGAAGTGGTGGTCTAGGAAACCATAGCTGGCCCTGGTTTGAGGGACCATCAGTCACTGCATTCTAGACTATGCTCTTGTTTATTTGTTTATTTTCAAACTTAGAAGTCTGGCCAACTCTGTAATGATTCTAGGCAGCATACAATATTAAGTTTGGCAGGAGTATTAGGTATGTTCTCCACCTTGAGTTGACTATATACTGTATATATACAGTATGTGTGTGTGTGTGTGTGTTATGTATGTATGTATGTATGTATGTGTGTGTATATATATATATATATATATATATATATATAGAATAAAAATATAATAATCTATGGCTAAGCATAATAAGTAGCAGCATATAAGACTCCACATGCCATGCAAATATAACCCAGAAAAATCAAACAGCAAATCAAGTATAACTCCTGTTAACTGCATAGACATATGCTTGTCACTTCAACTTTTCTCCTGTAACAAGTCATAGTTCTTCCAAGGATAGCCCTATAATTTGTTTATTCTATCTACCATATTTCTTGTCTTCCTCTTTCTTCCCCATACTTTCCTAAGCATACTTTTTTTTTCTAATCAATCTCTGCTTGTGTAATATGCCTAAAATATGTGAGTTTCTGCTTGCAGATCGTTGCCTTAAGGAAGCAGGCAGCCATGATATGATCTAGTAGTGATTGACTGGTACTTCATAAAGTCCATGTTATTCTTACAATTCTATAATTTGAAAGTATCATTTTTTTCTCTCAATGTTCAGTTTTCACAGCTGTACATTATCAGTGGAATAAACATTACTTCAACTGTTCTGATTTTTAGTGCCATGGGAGTATCCTTCATAATTTTGTCTCAGTTTGCCAGTGCTTTCCTGCTTAGCTTTACTTCCCCATTGCCAACTTTTACCTATACATGATACATAATAATTTATTATGAATTTATTTTTGCAAGCCTAAGAAAATAAACAATTTATCTTCATCTTCAGTTCTTTGCCATCAACTGTGAGTTCATTAAACATGCTGGTTAACATTATCTTTGTCTTTTTAATATTTAACATTAACTCATTAACTATTTATTTATTTATTTATTTATATTTATATAGCCACCCATCTCACACAAAGAGATTACTTTCATAATGAGCTCTTCAGTGTCTTTTTTACTTTTAACCAACGAAGTGATATCATATCTCAAATCACAAGTGTTTCAGCCTCCTATTTTGATTCCAGCTGTCATCCCTTCAAATCCTGCTATGCTTATATTTCTTGTATACATTTCAGATGTGCAGATGTGTATACTTGCCTCACTCTTCACCCTATTCTGAATCATTCTGTTTTTCCAGATTTAAGTTTTTACAGCAGTTGCTTATTCACTGTAAAGATTCCTTAGAAGAATAATCAGATAGTCTGGTACATCTGTTTAATACTGTATGTTCCATGTTATAGCAAAGATCATGCTGTGATCATTAAAACAAGTTTTTTTTTTCATACATTCTTTTTCTCTCTTTCCATTATTCATCTCAGGTTAGCAATCTGTTTTCTGTTTGTTTGGCATTTCTTTCTCCATCTATGGCTTGAATATTTTTATGATCTTGAACCAAAACTTTGCTTGTGTGAGGAATTAGCACAGTGGTCTGGTAACTTGCATGTTTTCTTGCATTTCCTTCTTTGGTATAGGTATATATTTTGATCTTTTCCAATTTTAGGCCACACAGTCTTGTTCCATATTTGTAGACAATATTGCTGATAGCACTTTAACCGCCTCTTTTCCAGCAACTTTAGACAGTTTGAGGAGTATTTCATCAGCACCTGGTGTTTTTGCTCTTCTGTTTGACATCAGATCCATTGCCTTTCATACAATACAGTTTGAACTTGGTTCCTGAACATATTTTTTCTCTGCGGTTGTTTCTGTCAAGCCATAATCTTGTTTGTAAAGAGTTTCAGTAAGTCTTTCTGTCTTCCTTTAACCTCATTTGCTTTTATTAGATCTTACTCTTGACTATTGCTTCCTTAACTGTGGATTTTCTTCTGATTTCTCTGATCTCCTTAAAAAAGAAATCTCTTTTTTCTTTTCTATTTTTTTACCAGCAATTTACATTTTTGACCAAAACTCCCTTATCTTTCCTTGCTTGATATTGAAAGTCTATCTTCAGTTATGATATATCATTCTTGTTCCCTAAGGCTTTTGTCCTCAATCTGTTTCTAACTATCATGTAGCTTGTTCTAAAAGCCATTTGGACATTTTCCTCTTTGAAATTTTGGGGAAAAAAGTCTCCTTGGTTTTTGCACCGTCTTTATGTCTTCCTGTAGTTCCCTAGATTCTCTTTCATATAAATTAAATGAACTGAAGCTGTTCTTTACACTTATTTTTCAACTACATGTCCTCCAAATCAAAATTTTCTTTCATTTTGTAAGTTTGAAACTAGTAATTTATGGGTTTTTTGCACAGTCTGCAGCTAGAAGTGTCCTGACTAATTAGATCACTCTTCTCCATCCTCTATTTCTTGTGATCTGGTCAGTTATCTTTATTCTTTTATTGTGCATCTGTTGCTGCTTGTGTGTTATATCTGTATCTGTATCTGTATTGCTTGAAGCAGGTTATGCCAATAACCCATTTCCTGCTTTACTGTGTTTACTATGTTGAAATTATATTTTCAGTTCTTCAACCTTTGTATTCCAATCACTCATTAGTGGTTTTAGTAGTCGTAGGAGTGTTTAGCAACTCTTTCAGTTTGCTATAAACTTTCGGCATATCTTCCACTATTGCATCTATAGTACAGGTATGCATTTGTTTAATATTTGTGTTCACTGGATAATCACTACTTTTGATATTATCCTGTAATTTATTGAGATAGGCAACCATATACTTAGCAGGGCCCTTTTTGAGTATCATTGCCTAGATGAGTTGTTGTAATGGGCAGAAGGAAAAACCTTGAGGAACAGGAGGAAGAGCCACTACCAAGACAGTGAGCAGATTAAAAAATCTGAGTCTGGTGCAAAAGCGTAATCTGACTAAGGATCTCAGACAAGACCCTCACTAGTTCTCATGAAGTTAAATGGAGGGGGGAAGCGCATTCAGACTTGTAAGATTCTGTACTGCAACCTAATAATACAAATAGTATTAGCGTTCATGATCTTGGTTTCTTAGTCTGGCCTACCCTGAAGGGATGACATTTGTCTTCCTTCATCCCTGCAGAATCCCATGTGCTCTCACCAAAATTGTGGATTATTGATCACTTCGTCCCTTTGCTTTTTGTCCTTACTTTGACAGGTGACCCCGCCAGGTCCTCCGATCACCTCAAAGTGGTAATCCTTTGGGAGAAATGTCATGTGAAGATGCCCAGAAAAAAAATAGGCCTGAAAAATTGTGAGTTCAGAGTTTGCTGAAGACATAGTAGAAGATGTATTGTCGAAGGCTTTCACGGCTGGCATACGATGGCTGGTGTGGGTCTTCCGGGCTGTGTGGCC